AGAAAGAAAGAAAGAAAGAAAGAAAGAAAGAAAGAAAGAAAGAAAGAGAAAGGAGTTGTATAGTGGTTAAGAATACTAGTTGTTCTTCCAGAGCCTGGGTTCGATTTCCAGCACACACACAGTGGCTTACAACCATCTGTAATTCCAGTCACAGGGCATCCAATGCTGTCTTCTGCTCTCTGTGGGCCCCAGACACACATGTGATACACAAACATACATGCAGGCTAAACACCCATACACATAAAAAAAAAAAAAGTCTTCAAAAAAGGAAAAGTCAGTCTAGGGCTGGGGGCATAGCTTAGTGGTAGAGCGCTATACATGTGGGAAACCCTGGACTCCTTCCACTTTTATAGAAAAAAAGCACAAAGCTGAGCTTAGTGGTGCATCTTCGCTTTCAGCATTCAGTATGATAAGGTAGGAGGGTTGGAAGTTTCCAGGCAGGGTCTGGGTTATTCAACAAATTTGATGGAAGCTTGGGTTACATGGTGAGACCTTGTGTCAAAAAAAGGGAAAGAGATTAAGTGTACTTACTGTACTTACAGAGGATTCAAGTTCAGCTCTCAGCATCTGCATGGTGGTTCATAAACATCTGGGATTCTAGTTCCAGGGACCCCTATTCCCTCTTCTGATCTCTGCAGGCACCAAGCAGGCATGTAGTACACATATTATACATAGATGCAAGACACTGTTCACATGAAAGAAATAAATCTTTTTTTTTTTTTTTTTTTTTTTTTAAGCAAAAGAGACATTTTGGTGGGAGACAAGGGTCAGAGGACTTATGCTGTGTCAGTGAAACTGGGCTGGCTCTCTAACTTTGGTCCCTTGTTAAGAAGCTGGATGTAGCATAGGATGTATTAAGCTTAGGTTTCTGGTCTTTTTTTTCTTGATAAGTTTTACTTTTTAATTAAAATTTCTAATGTAATAAATTTCCATTTCATTTAAATTTTAATTTTTATTATTATTTTTTAATGTATATTGGTGTTTTGCCTGGATGTGTGCCTATGTGAGGGTGTCAGATCCCCTGGAACTGGAATTACAGACAATTGTGAGCTGCCCTGTGGGTGCTGGGAATTGAAACTGGGTTCTTTGGGAGGGCAGCCAGGTCTCTGAGCCCCGTGAGGTCTCATCTGGGGGCCAGCTGATGCAGAACAGTCTGTGACTCTGAAACTGTCTGGGTCTTGGCTTTGAAGCCTTTTTTACAGTGGGTGGGCCGAATGGGAATGGTTATTGAAACTGACTGAGAAGCCTGGGCTGTGGGCGCTCACAGCTCCGGTTGAGAGAGAGATGTGTTGCTCAGCATGAGCCTCCGTTCCTGTACCAGCGTGGAAGCCTTACTGCATTGCCAGCTCCTGTGCTGTGCCTCAGTGTATAGTAACTGTGGTTTCTCCTCTAGATCTTCCTCCCAGAGACCACGGACATCTATGACAAAAAGAATATGCCTCGGGTGATCTATTGCATTCACGCCCTCAGGTGAGAACCCCTGGCTTTGTCAGCCAGCTTCCTCTGAGTGGATCAGTCAGGAGCAGTAACGTAGAAAGGAGGGAGGGTAGCCAAATGAGCAGTGATGGATCTGCATGGGTGTTCACATCCACATGTATGTTTGTGGGCACACTGATGCGTGAGCCTTGTAAATGAAGGAACAGCAGGGAAAAGGCCTTAGTTGTGACTGGAACAGAGATGAATCAGAACCAGGACCCATCGAGGGCATCACATGCAAGCCACTTAGTGGTAGAAGCAGGGAAGGCTGCTTGGTTCTGGTCACAGGCAGGTGTTCCAGCTGGCCAAATCAGAGAATGGGACTGGCCAGTTCCTGGGTCCACATGTCATTTCTTCACGCCTTCCCTTTCCGTGCCCTTTTCCTCCATTCCTGGCCTCGGTGGCTTTGTTTGCTGCCATCTTCCTCTTGCCCATCTCTACCCTGTGACTTTCACGGCAGTGAAAAGTGTGGCTCCTCTGTGGAGCCATCCCAGCTAGAGAGACTGCCTACGGCATCTTGTTCTGTTCTGTGGCAACAGTCTTGGCTAGCTATCCCTATGTGCTAGAGTGACTGGAGGGCAAGTGCTAGGAGCTCTTCACCTCGGGTCCCCATCGTCATTTCGCCTGTTTTGGACAAGGAGTAGAAATTAGATCCCAGTGTGTCCTAATAGCATTTATTCTTCCCAGCCTCTTCCTCTTCCGACTGGGGTTGGCCCCTCAGATCCATGACCTGTATGGGAAAGTAAAATTCACAGGTAAGCCAGCTCCTTCCTATTGTCCATACTAAACAGGGGTTTAGGGGTTCTGGGCCTAATGAAGAGCGCCTCTGTACCATTGCAGCTGAGGAACTCAGCAACATCGCCTCTGAACTGGCCAAATATGGCCTCCAGTTACCAGCCTTCAGCAAGATTGGGGGCATCCTGGCCAATGAATTTTCAGCCGATGAGGCTGCAGGTAGGGCTGGGCTCTGGTCTAGAATAGGATGTGGGAGTGTGGGCGGCGTGGAGGCACTGAAAGCCTCATCGCCCTTGGGTGGGTTCTGGCACCTCGTACCCACAGGCAGAGAGGCCAGGCTCCTTGGCAGTACAGTGAGCTCTGCTCTGCTCTGGGTCCTTTCTGCCTTCTTGACCTTGTTCCCCTGTCCCTCCAAGTCCATGCAGCTATTCTTGCCATCAATGATGCAGTAGAGCGAGGGGTGGTAGAGGATACTCTGGTGGCTCTGCAGAATCCTCACGCCCTTCTGCAGAATCTTCAGGAACCTCTGGCAGCTGTCTACCAAGAGCTGCTAGCCCTAGCCAAGACGAAGAAGGCTGCCAATGCCAGGAACCACGTAAGGAGAAGCGTTGGGTTATAGGGCCAATAAGTTGGCAGGCCTGGGGAGTCTCAAGTAGAACTAGAACTGCAGTTTGTCCTGCCTCAGATAATTTCAGAGAAGCAGAGCAGGAGCCAGGGGTGATATCTGTAGAGCAGGAAGGCTGGAGAGAGACTGGAGGGATGAGCCTTAGGAAGCTGAGGTGACTCTGGAATGAGGCATGAGATGAGGCTAGACTGGAGGATCCACAGGCTGATTGGCTTACTTGATGGTGCCTGGGGTTAGCCCACAAGTCCTCAGTCCTAAGCAGGCTACTCTTGGCCTAGCCGATGGTCTGCAGAAGTGACAAGCATAGGGAGGAAGAGAGTGCACTACCTCCTCTTTCTACACCTCGCTTTTGCAGGATGATGGTCAAGAACAGGATATCTATGAGTCCCACCTCACCCAGGCAGAGATCCAGGGCCACATCAACCTCGCCAATGGTAAGAGATGAATGGGAAGCTTGGAGGTAGCTGCTTTAACAAGCCCCATGGCCTTGTATGAGCCAGATCCTGCCCTGGGGAAAGCTCACAGGCCAGGGACTGTATGTCCTGCTGTCTAGACACAGCAAAGAGGCCACACCAGGAGGTCCTGTGAAAATGGAGAACTACTAAGACAGAGGCAAATGGACAAGCCTTTCAGCTCCCAGTGTGGGGATGGATATTTGGATTAGGGTTCTTCTGTAGGAAGTATAGCTAGGACACCTGTGGTCCCAGAAGTCAGGCAGCCAAGGCCCACAGATTAAAGGTTCAAGACCTCACAGGGCCATCTTGTGAAACTTTATCAAAAGGAAAGGAATTGGGAAGAAAGAAAAGTAGGGAATAGGAGGATAGATGGGGTAGGGATGATGGTGGACAGAGGAGCAACTTGAAGGCTCATAATGAGAGAATGTTTGCTTGATAGGATCAGGGTATTCTCAGGGTCTGGGACAGTGAGACAGAAGGGCTGTGAAGAGCAAGAGGATGTAGGCTGGACCACATGGGCCCTGTGTGTCAGAGGTCAAGGACAGAGGCAACTTTTGGGAGGTAGGAAGAAGGCAGATTCCCAGGAACAGCTGTGGATGGTATCAGGTAAGCTTCACACACTTAGAGATTTTCTGTTTTTCAGTCCACTGGGCTCTAGAAGTTGTGGATGATGCTCTGGAGAGACAGAGTTCCGAGGCCTTGCTTGAGGCCCTTCAGGACCCTGTCCTGGGCCTGCAAGGGGTGAGAAGAAACTTGGCTGACTGGTACCTAGAACAACTGACTTCAGACAGAGAAGAGAAGTCTCAGGTCTGTTCTGGCCAGTACCTGTCTGCCTGTAGGGTGGGAAATGGCCTCTTATGTGCATGTCATCGCTGACCCCATATTTAAATGGCTGAGTCATACCCTCTCACACCTGAAAGCCTTGTGGACCAAGCTGTCTGGGTCTCCTTAGCGTCCCTCAGACTGAGAGGGAAGGACCAGGCCAGTCCACAGGTAAGGATATGCTCCCCAATGCTGAACTGGGGTCTTGATTTATCAACTTTATTTTTAATTCTTTGACCCCGCTCATACATTTTTCGTGTATGTGTCTATGGTATGAATGTATGTCTCTATGTGTGTTCACATAGAGGGGGAGGTTGGCAAATGTGTGAGCCTGTGTATAGGAGGCCCAAAGTTGGTATCAAGAATCATTCTTCAGTGCCTCCTCCACCTGATTCACTGAGGCAGACTCTCTTAATTGAACCCAGAGCTCACCAATGTGACTAGTCCCACTAGCCAGCTTGATTTGGGAATTACGAGTAAGACTTGCATAGCTTCTAAAGATTTAAACTCTAGTCTTCTTGCTTACCTGGTAAGCCCTTTAACCGGGGAGCCATCTCTCTAGCCCTTAATTCTTTGACATAATGTTTGACATTATTTATACTTACATCTTGAGTGTTGTTATTTTAGTGTTGTTAAAAATAAATTAAAGTTAGAGTACTCAGGTTAGGTGGACCAGATCCATCTACGTAGGGGAGAGGCAGGACTGAGTGTTGGCAGGTTCTAAAGCATGTTCATGGCCTGGGAACTCTCTTACCGTGCCTCTGCCCTCTTGCAGGAGCTGGGCCTGGTGAGTCTTTTAGAAAAGGCAGAGATCCAGGCTGGTGTGGCTGCAGCCAATGAGAAGGATGATAAAGAGCAAGCCAGTAAGTCATCTCCAGGTGGGGCCTGAGGGCAGGTGTCTGCTGGCTCTTGGAAGTGTATCTTGCCCTGTAGTGATAGTTCTGAAATTTTGATTTTGTTATAAGAATATATTTTTGTTTTAATTCCAGGTCTGGGGATATGGGCTGCTTCGTAGCAACTGACTATGATTTGTCTCATGTTCTAGCAGACGTGTGGTTTTGCCAGCTATAGATAGCTTCTGTGATAGTGTGATGTTTGGAACTCTGGAAAGTTTTCAGAGGGTATATAAATGCTAAAGTTCCAATAGGTGAGCTTGGTTGTTGGTAGTTCGGGGGGGGGGGATGGTTGTAGTTTCTTAGTAGTTGTGCTCAAAGAAGAAACAAAAACTTAGACGGAAGGATCTCCCCACCCCATCCTTGTCTATCTAGTGACAGGGGGAGACATCTGGGTGATAAAGCGTGGGGCAAAGAAGACACCACAAAGTAGCAGAGACCCCTACATTGCCCTTTACTGACATATGCACTGGACAAGGCAAACTGCTGTCCAGTTCCAAGCTTAACAAAGAACTTTACCCTTCATGCCCTCTGACCTCTGCACCCCTGGAGGGACATCAGATGAAGGATAATGACATCTTGCTACCCACCAGAACTAGGTTCCCTCTGGGGACTTGGCCTATAATTTTGTGTCTACCTGTTTATATTTCTTTGGCTTCTGAAATGTGATTTCTCAGGTAAGGAAAAAACACATTCTAATTCAGTGTTCTTAAAAAAGAAAATTATAGGGGCTGGAGAGATTAAGAGCTCTCAGAGGTTAAGAGCACTGGCTGTTCTTCCAGAGGTTCTGAGTTCAAGTCCCGGAACCCACATGGGGGCTACCATGAGATCCAGTGCCCTCTTCTGGCGTGCAGGTGTACATACATAATAAATAAATCTTAAAAAAAAGTATATGCAAGGCTGGAGGACACTTGTTCTTGCAGGGGACCCGGGTTCAGTTCTTAGCACCTGCGTGTGGTTCACAGACGTCAGTAGCCACAGCTCCAGGGAACCCAAACTGAGTCTGATGCCGTTCCTGACCTCTGTAGACATCAGGCACACATGGCCCAGTGTACACACGCGTGCATGCATGCACACAAAAGAGCCCCACAGAGACGATAAAAGAAATCTAAAAAGTTAAAACAAAAGAGTATATGCAAATATAATTGTGTATTCAAGGTGTGAGTGAACACGGCAATGAAGTGAGGCCATTTACAGGCTCCCGCTGCTCTCGGCTGCTGCCTGACCCGGGAGCCTCTTCGTTCCTGTTGTTGCCAGTGTGCACGGGCAGCTCTCAGGAGAAAGGCCGCATCTCTCCAGTCTTGGTTCTTGTTTTCTGAGATGGGATCTTACTGTGCTGCTCACACTGGCCTGGAGCACAAGTTGGTGTTGTTACCTCACTCTCCGCCGTGCTTGCCACAGGTGTGGGTGACCACACTCAGCAGGCTCGTCCTCTGCGTGGAGGAGCGCCTTTAGTCTCAGCGCTCCAGAGGGAGAGGCAGGTGAACTCAAGACCTCTTGAGTCAAGGCCAGCCAGGGCTACATAGAGAAGCCCTGCCTAAAAAAAAAAAAAGCAGGGTTTATTTGTTTTATGTGTTTATGTCCGCGTGATTTGCCTGAATTGTGCACTGTATGCATGCAGTGCCCATGGAGGCCAGAAGAGGGCATCAGATCCCCTGGAATTGGAGTTATAGACGGCTATGAGCCACCATGTGGGAGACGAGGAACAGAACCCTGCCCACATCGAGTGTTCTGAGCTGCTGAGCCATCTCTCCAGCCCTGGCACTTTCACTCTCTTATTTATTTATTTATTTATTTATTTATTTATTTACTTACTTACTTACTTACTTACTTACTTACTTACTTACTTACTTACTTACTTACTTTCTTACTTTTTATTATGTACATTTGGTGTTTGGCATACATGTGTATCTGTGTGAGGGAGTCCAATCCACTAGAATTTGAGTTACAGACCAGACAGTTTTGAGCTGCCACGTGGGTGCTGGGAATTGAACCAGAGTCCTCTGGAAGAGCAGCCAATCCTCCTAAACACTGAGCCATCGCTCCAGCCCCAGGCTCTTTCATTCTTTCTATCCCTTGGGCCTAGCAGATGCGACATTGTAGGTGTTCTCTTCCCCTTGCTTTCTCTCTCTCTCTTTCTTTTTGCTTTGTTTTTTGAGACATGGTTTCTTTGTAGCCTTGGCTGTCCTGGACTTGCTTTGTAGAGCAGGCTGGCCTCAAACTCACAGCGATCTGCCTGCCTCTGCCTCCTGAGTGCTGGATTACAGGCATGTGCCGCCACCACCTGGCCTCCCTTGCTTTTCAGCTGACATTTCACCCAGTGCAGCTGAGCCACACAGGCTGTTCTTCCTTGATTCCTTCCCAGCCCCTGGCCTCTGGGCATCCGGATAACATTTCCCCCTCATTTCACCTGTCAGAAGCAGGTATAACATCTCCAGAGCTGTCTCCTAGGCTTCTCGGTAAAGTCATTGTGTGTTCCCAGTCAGAATCCCTCCCCTCAGCCCTCTGTAGCACTGGGGTGGGGCCACTTCTACTGTGGCCTCTACAGCTGGGCGTTGTACCTCTTTTCGTATCCTTACTCCTCCTCACAAGATTGTGTGCTCCTTGAAGCCAGTGTCCATTTCTGCTGGCATTTCTGCTGCCCCAGAGTGTGTAAACTCTAACCACACTTGTGTGCTCTGGCCCCTTTTAGTTTCCTCCACCTGCTGTAAATGGAGCTAGCTCTTTTCTCTGCACTGTCACTTGGGTTTGGTCCCTAGAGCCCTTTGACTCACTTTATCTTAGCTATGCACCATTGCCACCTGTCAATCTTGTTCTCGCTGCCTTAGGAACTCACCTCAGCTGTGACAGCCGCTTTCTTCAGCTTTCTAAGCTGTGCAGCTCCTGGGCCTAACACACCACCGTTCACTGAGCCTCTCTTTTAAAGCACCCCATCCCCCTTTCCTCTGGAACATTTAGAAATGCATTTTGAATCTGGTAGAATGGCTTTCTAGAAGTGTGACAAAGCCATTTCCCTCAGAGGTCCCCACAGAGCCTGGTTGGTAAGAACAGCCCAGATGAGAAGGAGCACTCAGCCTGTGTGGCTTCTTGCTGTCCTCCTCTGCAGTGCTCCAGGCTGTGTGGAGGATCAACAAAGCCATCCAGAGGGGAGTGGCCGCTGACACCGTGAAGGAGCTCATGTGTCCTGAAGCCCGGCTGCCCCAAGTGTACCCGTTCGCTTCTGCTGTGTACCAGCAGGAGCTGGCTGTGCTCCAGAAGCAACAGCACGGGGTAAGCTCTGGGGGCCCAGCGCAGCTGGAGGACAGAGATAGCTGGTCCTTTCTTGGCCAGAGATTAGAATGGTCGGGGCTGCTTCTGAGGAGCATCATGGCAGCCAGTGGCTCCACACACTGTGCTGGCAGCAGCCCTACCAGGTAAGCGCCGACTTCCCGCTTAGCGGTGAGGAGCAGGGACACAGAAGTTGAGCACTTCCCTGCCCAGCTGACTGGCAGCACTGTGGCTGAATTTGGAGCTAAATATACTGGCAGGACATGCTTTAACCACCAGGCTGTCCCACCTCACTTCTGGCCACACAGCTCTTCTGACAGTGAGGCATGTTCCTTGCTTAGGCTCATCCCTGTCAGCTGCAGGAGTTAGGATACACCCAAGGGGTCAGGCAAAGGTGGAGGAAAGAGTAAATGATGGGGGGCTGGAGAGATGGCTCAGTGGTTAAGAGCACTGGCTGCTCTTCCAAAGGACCCAGGTTCAATTCCCAGCAACTACATGGCTGCTCACAACTGTAACTCCAGTTCCAAGGGATCTGACACCTTCACCCTGGTGCCCATAAAATGAAATAAATTACTTTAAAAAAAAAGAGTAAAGATGATCGTATAGCAGGGACCAGGAAAATAGAGCAAGCGATGCTGGAGGAAGTCTGGGAAGGCTGCCTAGAAGAGACTCAGAGTGAATCCCTCCAGCAGCGGGTGTTCACAGAACGTTTACTCTGGACACGACCTGTACACAGCACTGTCTTCAGCAAGGGCAGGTGACAAGGGCTAAGTAACTAGACACCACAGAAACACTAAGACATGGAAGCAGAGTGTTGAAGGTTGTGGACTTGAGAGGTCAGGGGTCAAATATAGCTACTTCCTAGATATGTGACACTGGCATTTACTTTCTCAGTTTTTCATAAATGGTGCCAATCTCACAGGATTGTTTCAAGGACTCCATGAGTCAGTATTTGTGCTTAGAGAAGCACCTAGCAAGTAAGTTTTAGCTGCCATTCCTGTTATTTGCAGCTCTACTGCAGAATACAGGAAGAGTGCTCCAGACAAAGGGAGCCGCCTAAGCAGGTGTTTGAGGAGAAGCAGAAAGAGAGCCAAGGCCTCATGTGTATAGCCTTGCGTAAGGTGGTCCTTGCTCTTCTCTGCCCAGGGCCTTGTTTAGTTCTGTCTCTGACTCTGTCTCTCTCTGTCTTTTTTGGCGTCTTCAGACATGATCTCACATAACTCATGCTGGCTTTGAACTTGTTATATAGCTGAGGATGGCCTTGAACTCATTTTCCTGCCTCTGCCTCCTGAATACTGTGTCCACAGGCATTCATCCCTACAACTGGCTTCCTGCGGTTTTTGATATGACATGGGGACCAGAGGCTGTTGGCAAAGGTCACAGGTCAAGTGAGGGCACGTAGGCTCTGCAGCTCCATTTCACCCACATTACTAGCAATAGGCTTGGGTGGGAAATAGGGCTATTGATGGTGCTACCTCATTGGCTTTTATGAAAATTAAGGTGTGAGTTCATGATTGAGTTCACAGTAACACCCCCAGGTATAGAGTATAAATGTTGGTGAATGACCACATCCTTGGTGCTGAGCGTGAGTTCTGCTAGTGGATGCAGCCCAGGTGTGGAGCATGGATGGGGCTGTGGAGTAAATTTTGCTCCTGGCACTTGGGAATGGAGATGAGATGTTAGAGAACTTGGGGAAGGCTGGCCCCGACAGGACCCCAACTCCCCTCCGCAGGGGCTGGACCGGGAAGAGCTCTTCGTGGCTGTGGAAATGCTTTCGGCCGTTGTTCTGATTAACCGTGCTCTGGAGGCTAGAGATGCCTGTGCCTTTTGGGAAAATCTGGCGAACCCTGCTACTGGCCTGGCCCAGGTAGAAGAAGAAAATGCCCAACGGTGAGTGAGAGAGCTTTAGCCACATGTCAGAGGTGAAAGGATAGCATGATGTGGCTAGCGCTGGACAAGTTAACCTGTCTGATGCCCATTCTTAATCCCAGCCCCTTGTTTTATTTGCAGTTGCCCCTTCTGTGTTTCTCCCCCAGTGGGGAACACAAGCTCATCTTCCTTCCTTTCATTTTGTTCAGAACAAATGTTTGAGTGCCTACATGCTGCCAGATGCCATTCTAGGTGTTGAAAACAGTAACTAAAACCAAATCCCTGCTCTTGGCAAGCATATACACAAGCAGGAGTCATGATTTGATGGGCCAAACAAAACAGGACAGAGTGGGAGTGGGGCAATTTTCCTATCACAGAATGTAGTTAGAGGTAGTGTCATGTGGAGTAGGACAAAAGGAGTCTGAGCTATTCCCATGATGCTCTTCAGGACAGGAGAGTACACTCAGAGCCTCAGGAGGGCTTGGGAATAGCTCGGTGGTAGAGTGCTTCCATGGCATGTGACTACAAAGAAGGTGGAGGGACCAAATAGAGTGAAGCAGGGAAGGAGCGGCTGGCAGAGACCAGCATACGTCCTCAAGCCAGGAGTATTCAGCCAGGAAGGAGCCCAGTGAAGGACCTACCTTGCCAAGACCATTGTAGCTGTGGGGCTGAGACGCCACCGCAGGGCCTGGGCCCAGGCAGAGCAGCAAGGATGCCGTTTAGGCATGCTGCTAGGTCCAAGGTGGATGCAGGAGGAATGGGAAGATGGCAGCAGCATGGAAATGTATTCTGAAAGCAGAACCGACAGGGCTTGGTGGCAGAGGGAGCCCAGTGGGAGAGGACTTGACAAATGCTTATCCAGAAGGGACAGGCTGAGGCACTGATAGACTTGGGAGTTCAGAAATGAGCTGGGGTGTTTCGGATCCTGACTGGCATTCAGGAGGAGATCCTTGGAAGTCCTCAGGGCCTTTGAGGGATGAAAGTATGCTTTGGGGACTCATTAGCGAAAGTCAGTAAAGGCCTGGGGAGTGCTTGAGATCTGGGTGTGAAGCTGGAAGGCTCCAGGGTACACACAGGGAACTTGGAACAGCCTGTGAAGGGAGAAGAGACCCTGGATATTATGGTGGCCTGGCAGGAACCAACTCAAAGCTTTCTCCACTTGTGGCTCAAGTATACACAAATGGGCACTTGTGGCTGAGTGTGGACCCACATGGCTGCTCATGTCACTTCTCTGCTGCTAGCTACTTTGATGCCCTGGTGAAGGTGCGGCAGCTTCGAGGAGTGGATAGAGTCTTCTTGAGCTGGAATGACCTGCAGGCTGCTGTGAGCCAGGTCAATGAACAGGTCCAGGAAGAAACAGATCGTGAGTGGCCCCCTCAGACGATCCCACCCTTCCCTGAGTCTCCAGTCTGGGGGCTGCTGCTCATGTAAGTGTCTTCCTCAGAGGTCCTCGCCATCAGCCTCATCAATGAGGCTCTGGACCAGGGCTGTCCTGAAAAGACGCTGTCTGCCCTGCTGCTTCCAGCGGCTGGCCTGGAAGATGTCAGCCTTCACGTTGCACCTCGGTATCATCTTCTCCTCGTGGCCGCCAAGAGGCAGAAAGTCCAGGTAAGGTCAGGGAGAGATGGCCAGGTTAGTTGCCCCAGCAAGAGGGTCAGTGGATACAGTCCCTTCCCCAGGTGAGGCACAGGCAAGATTTGGTTGTTGTGGGAAAGTGTGGACTTCATTCCACAACAGTGTGGGGAAAGAATAGGCCAAGAGTCTAGATCTACCATTCTGCTCCCCAAGGGTCACCTGGTCCTGAGCAATCCCTCAGTACCCCTTGGGTAGGTACTTATCTGTAAAACACTATATGATCTGCTTCGCGGTGCAAATCCACTGAGCTAATGAAGGAGTGGGGATTTGACTTGACACATCCTGAGTCGTGTAGCAGCAGAATGACCTGAGACCTAGGTCCCTGAGCCATATGATTGAGCTGCACCCTCTAGTCTCACCCGGCACTTACTGAGTTTTCACTCAGTGCCAAGTATTGCTTGATGTGCCTCACATGTAGTGATGGGTGAAGCTGGAGAGGCGACTCAGAAGCTTCAGAGTGTCTGAAGTGAGCCCAGGTTCAGTTCCCAGCATCCATAGATACAGATGCAGGGGTCTAATGTGCTCTTCAGGGCCATTGTATTCAACATCCGCATACCTCCACCCAGATACATACAAATATACCTAATTAAAAAGAAAGTATTTTAAAAATTAATTTATAAAAAAAAGTCTTAGGAGTTGTAGCTGGTAGCTTTCAGCTACAGTGAGTCTGAGGTTGGCTTGGGCTACAGATCCCATTAGAAAGAAAAGGCAGGTGGGCACCTGTCACGTAGTCAGTGCTCAATAAAATGTTAGTTTACAGAGTTTGTTTCTGATGAGGAAAGGAGAGCGTGGAGTTTCAGACTGACCACAGCAAGTGCTGGCTTACCTGACCTGTGTACACACAATCTTCCTACTACTTCTTGGTGATAAGAAATGTGTAGCCAGAAGGAGAAGTACAGTCAGTTCCAGGATCTGGCTGAGGGCTGTGAATTAGGTAGACGGATATGGGAGGGCTGTGGGGTAGGTGTCCCCAGACACAGCTGGCGATAGAGCTATTAGAAGGTACTGAGGGTAGGAAAGCAGTAGAGAGTCCCAAGGCCAAGCTGAGTCGATGCTGAGGACTCTGAAAACAGAAAAGAGCCTTCTCAGAGCTGGAGAGATGGCTTAGAGGTTAAGAGCACTGTCTGCTCTTCCAGCGGTTCTGAGTTCAATTTCCAGCAATCACATGGTGGCTCACAACCATCTATAGTGAGATCAAGTGCCCTCTTATAAATCTTAAAGAAAAAAAAAAAAGAGCCTGGCAGCCTTCCAAGGGAGCCACAGGGTCATGACCCACGGGACAGGAAGAAGGGAGCAGAGAAAGCCTTCTCCAATGCCCCAGTGTCTGCTAGTACCTTGGTTCCTGCACTGGGCTTGTGGTAGCCTATGGGTACCAGTTTGGGGTCTTGTCTCTTTTCATCTTCTGCATGCCAGGTGATGGGAGATCCTGGAGCTGTACTGTGGCTGGAAGAGATCCGCCAGGGAGTGGCCAGAGCCAATGAGGACACGAACACAGCACACAGAAGTAAACGGCCAGGCACCGGGAGGGCGGAGTGGAGCTCAATGGCATGCAGGGAGGGGCCTCACCCCATCTCTACTTAACCATGGGAAACATCTTAGTTAGCTTTCTACTGCTGAATGAACACCATGCAGCCTGGGGAGGAAAGGGTTTATTCAGCTTACACTTCCACATCATAGTCCACCATTGAAGGAAGTCAGGCCAGAAACTCAAGACAGGAACCTGGAGGCAGAAACCAAAGCAGAAGGCATGGAAGGGTGCTGCTCACTGGCCTGCTCTTCATGGCTTGCTTAGTTTGTCTTCCTATATACCCCAGGATCACCTTCCCACACATAATACCACCCACAAAGGGTTTCCACATCAACCATTAGTCAAGAAAGTGCCCCACAGCCTTGCCCATAGGCCAGTCCATTGGGGACATTTTCTCACTTAAGATTCCCTCTTCCCAGTTATGTCTAGATTTGTGTCAGATTGACAGAAACCAACAAGCACATAGAGGCAAGACAGAATTGGAGCAGGAGGGTCCTTTGACTACAGGGTAGATTTCCTGGAACACAGCCGAGCAGGAAATAGTCAAGAGTTTAGAACACACCCCCTGCAGGAGCCCTTCCTTGACTGCCACCCTTTCTGCTCAGGCAGTTGCCTGCTGCTGCTTCCCATATACAGGCAGCTGTGCTACTCTCGACACTGCCTATCCCCTCTGCCAGCCATGGTGGTTCTATGTGTCTCCTGCATCTGGCCCTACTGGACAGGACAAAGTTCATGGGAGGGACCCCAGAAGCACTGACTTTTCTCTCCTGATGCCCATCAGGAGCCCTTGGTGTGGCTGCCATCAATCAGGCCATCAAGGAGGGCAAGGCTGCCCAGACAGAGCGGGCGTTGAGGAACCCCCATGTGGCCCTTCGAGGGATAGTTCCTGAGTGTGCTAATAGCTACCAGCAGATGCTGGAAGGGGCAATGGCAAAGAAGCGATGTCCTGGTAATGGTCCTGGCCTAACCTTCCTCCATGCTGCTTGCCTTGCTTCCTCTGAGCCTTACTTGAGTCTCTTACTTGAGGCTTACTTGAGTCTCTCCTCAGGGGACACAGCCTTCTGGGTTCAACATGACATGAAGGATGGCACAGCCTACTACTTCCATCTGCAGACCTTCCAGGGTACCTGGGAGCACCCTCTCAGCTGCCACCTCAATACCTCCCATCTAACCTGGGAGGAGATTCAGGTTGTCAGGGTTCCGGCCAGGGTGCGTGGCGGTGTGTGGGAAGAGTCTCCTACCCACCAAAGGACTCCTGTCTCCACAGTCAATCATCACCAAGGTCACCGCTGCCCATGATCGCCAGCTGCTCTGGAAGGCCAATGTGGGCTTTGTCATCCGGCTCCAGGCACATCTCCGTGGCTTCCTTGTTCGCCAGAAGTTTGCTGAGCGTTCCCACTTTCTAAGAACCTTGCTTCCAGCCGTCATCAAGATCCAGGTGGCAGCCTTGGCTTTTCCCCATGCCTGGGAAGATTGGAATTCCAGGGTGTCCCCTTCCTTCCTTTGCCCTGGACAGGGTTAGGATGGTTCTTGGGCCTCTGGGCAATAGAAGTGAAAGGTGTGGGCTCTGTAACCAGGCTACTGTGGTTTGAAGCCCAACTCCCTGAGCTTGTAAGCTATTCTTTCTGTTTGTGCCTCAGTTTCCTCCCCTACCCAAAAAAAAAAAAAAAAAAAAAAAAAAAATGGGAATGGCAGTACCACTTTACAGGGTAGTGAAGATGGTTTAATAAGACAATGTCTGGAATGTTTGTGTACAGTAAAAGCAGGACATAAGCACTACTTACTGTATCATCGTCACCATCTGGGAAGAGTGAAGTGAAATTCAAACGTCAGGAAGATGCTGTCTCTGGAGCATGAGTTGTGAGGGTGGCCCTGAGCCAGGCAGAATGGAAGTCTACCCATCCCTGCAGGACGTTAGCAGCTACTGTGTGGTCCTCGCCAGTGGGCATTCCATTCAGTTTTTCTAGCAAGGCCCATGTGGGGCTGACCAGCAAGGGATTGGGGTGGGAGACTAGCTGGGAAGGTGGCCAGAGCACATGGTGAGGTAGAAAAAAGGGAAGCCCGACGTGACGTGGAGAGCCTCATGGGGTTGCTGACAGTGTAAAGATAATTTGTTTAATAAGCATCCCTGGTGCCCAGTACCTACAAAGCGTGCCCCAGTGTACAGGGCAAGGTTAGGAAATAGGCATGGAACCTGCAAGTGAGTAGCCATGTCTCTCCCTTTTTAAGAGCTGAGGTAAGGATGGCATTAGCTATGACAGGAAGGACACAAAGATTGATAACACTGGAGGACCAGAAGCTGTGGGTTGGCAGGTACCCCTGGCATGACCTAAACATGACCTAAGACTCTGGGCTCTGGAGTTGGCCTCCTGGTTCTACTACCCTCTGATTAAGGCCTGTGAACCCTGCTCAAGCACTTGCAGCATTCACTTCCTTCATAAGGACCCTTGCTTAATATATTGGCTGGGAGGAATTAGGAGAAAGTTGCATGTGTAGTGGAGTGTGGCAGAGACTCCCTGGTGACACCCCCTTAGATGCTGGTGTTGGCATTGGTCCCAGAACTCAGTCCTGGAGTGGCCAATTGTCTGATTCCAGACTAGGGCACATGCACATAGACAGAGGCAGCCTGGTGCCATGGCCACTTTCCTTTGTTAAAGTGAGACTCATCAGTGAGGCAGCCTGGATGCCCTCTGACAGACGAGACTCTGTCCTGACAGCTCTGCCTAGCACTAGCTCTCTAAAGTTCTCAGCACTGACTAATCCAGATTGAGGGATGTTGTAGTTAAGTTATTGATATTTACTATTGTTTTAACTTCTGGTAACGCTGTTGTTAATTCTCAGCAGCTGTAAAACCAAATCACCACACAGAGACTGGGTTTTTAGTTAACCTAGAACACAATGCTGGGCAATATTTACTCCCTCCTAAACCTCCAAGCCCTCAGTTTCCTAACTTTTAGGTTTCCCACATTATACTTGCTTTTTGTGAAATCTTAGGTCTGGTTCATGCTCCAAGTCCTCCAAGCTCTCTCCTCCCGCTCTGCTCTCCTCCTCTCCCCTTCCTGTTTTCTAGCTCCTCCCCTCTTTCCTGTCCTCTGGCTCCTCCCATTGCACAACATTGTATCTAGTTGCTTTATTTGTGTCCTGTTTACACAAGAGTGAGTATCACAATGCAATATCCAGATTGAAACCAGAGAGTTGGGGGTGGGGAAATCAGCATTTGAATTAACAAGGGTAAGGCATATACATTTTAAATGAACATTCTACCAACAGAGGGATGTTTTGGTTTTGTTTGGTTTTACATTTATATATTTATAGTGCGTGCGTGTGTGTGTGTGTGTGTGTGTCTGTATATACATGAGGTCACGGTATGTACATTGAGGTCAGAGGACAACTTACAGGAGTTCTCTGCTTCCAGCATGTGGGTTCTGGAGATTGAACTTAGGTTGTCAGGCTTGGCTTACCCACTAAGTCATCTCCCTAGTATGGGAGACATGTTTTTAGGGATGAGTCTGTCAGGGCTGGCAGAGTGTATGGGAGCATGGTGCATTCTCTGATGAAGCTGGTGAGCATCTGTACTTTATTAGTGTTTTTGGGTCCATGTTTCACATTTGAGTTTCTGTGAGGAGGCGTTAGGCTACCTACTCTTAGTCTTTCTCATAAAGCAGGCAGACCTTTGAGAACAGGGTCGATTTCCTGTCCTCATTCCTTCTATCTCAGTTATTGTTCCTTGCTGTGAAGAAACACCATGACCAAAACAACTTAGAAAAGCCTTTACCTGGGGGCTTGCTGAAACTGTCAGTTTCAGAGGGTTATGGTCATCAGGCAGGAAACATGGCAGCAGGCAGGTGCTGGAGTAGTAGCTGAGAGCTTATATCTCAGGTTGGAGACAGAGAGAGTGGACTAGACATGCTGTGGGTTTTTTAAACCTCAAAGCTCACCCCCAGTAACATACCTTCTCCAACAAGGCCATAACACCTAATCCTTCCTAAGCAGTCCATCATCTGGGAGCCAAACATTCAAATATATGAGACTACTGGGGGGAAGGGCATTCTTGTTCAAACCACCACACCATCCTACAGAGCCCACTGGCCTCTGGAGCCCAAGGAGATCTGCTAGGGTTTCCTATTCTGCTTGGCAGGCTCATTGGCGGGGTTATCGACAACGGAAGACCTACCAGGAGCGGCTGCATTATTTTAAAGCAAACCTGGATGCTATAATAAAGGTAATCATAGTGGTTTAGATGGCTCCTTTCTCTTGAGGGATCCTCAGGGCTCTTTGTCATTCTCTTACCTCCCTGTGGCCTTGGAGTTGGCTGCATTGGCTAGGGTCTGAGGGTGGGTTTTGGCCTGATGTTCTGAAGGTAGTGTCTTTCCTCTCAGATCCAGGCCTGGGCCCGAATGTGGGCAGCCCGGAGGCAATACCTCAGGCGTCTGCGATACTTCCAGAAGAATGTGAGTGCTGTCCTATCATGCCTGTCTTTACTCATAAATCAAGCAAAGTGAGTAAGGGCAGCTACTCTGTCCTCTTGTGTTCATGCTAGGTTGACGCCGTTGTGAAGATTCAAGCATTTTTCCGAGCCAGGAAAGCCCACGGTGACTACAGGATGTTAGGTATGCAGGGAGACAAACCCAGAGCCAGACAGGTCTAGGTGTCCCTCTTGGGGAAGCACAACAGTTAAAGGCAAATTCACCATCACACGTTATCTGAGGAGCATAGAGGCCTCACCTCCCAGTACCAGATAGTTTTGTCATGGGAAGTCCTCTCTAACCAGGTTCGTTCTGAGCAGGTCTAACATACCCATCTGCCTATGGTAGGCTCTTTCTCCCCTCCCTGAACTTCCAACTTTGCCACTGCCCTTGGCTCAGGCTCCCACCTCCTGGCCTTCGTGGTATAGACACACAGGCCTGGTGATCATTCTGCCTGCTGGGCAAGAAACAAAGCAGTAGTGACCACCCGCTTCCTGCCCTCGGGAGGTGCCTGCATGCCTGTGCACGTGCACGGGTGCGTGCCTGCGTGCCTGCGTGCCTGCCTGTGTGTGTGTGGTGTCTTCCTCTCTTGCATTTTACTTTATAGGGTCTCTCACTTGTCCTGGAGCTTACTGACTGACTAAGTCTGCTGGCCATAAAACCCCCAGGATCCTTCTGTCTCCAACCCCAGCAAGTCCGGAATCCCAGCCTTGTTCAGGAGCTAGCACATTAGCCTATCTCCACGTTCACCTCCTGCTCTGGATTCCTGGAGCCCTTTCCTTTCTGTGCTTCAGGTGGGGGCCGCAGGCATCTCACTTCTCTGTCCTCCTCCCTCCGGCCAGAGGCCTGTGGCAGCATGAGTTGCTTTCCTGTCTTCCTCAGCATCATGTCCCTTGCTGTTACACTGAGGTCACTACTCTGCCTGCCCTTTATCATTCTTCCTTCCTCCAACTCATAGTATTTCTGGGGAAAAGTATTCTTCCAATGCTTCCTCCACCTTCCTCGCCCCCAGCATCCACCCAGAATTGGCCACTTTACTGTGTGCGTGGTGGCTTCTGTGTTGAGGATTCCCTCCCAACAGTGATGCTGTCACTTGTCATCATTTCTGCAACCATTTTAATCCACTAATCCTGAGCCTAAGCCGATTCTTGTTGGCTGAGCCCTGGTGTCCTGTTTCTCGGTGCTGATTGGACCAGATCATCCTGACCACTTCTTCATGGAGCTTTAGCATCTCCACTGCAGCTGAGCAGTCCTGCTTCTTGTCGCTCTTCTGTTAACCTGTCATGGCTCCCATAGTCTCCTAGCCACAGCACCTCTCCAGTCCCTCTTCCCTCACCAGCTTGTACCTCCTCATATCTTGTCTTAATTATTATAAAGGCTGTTATAAATACCATGACCAAAAAAGCACTTGGAGGGGAGATTGTTTCATCTTATACTTTCGTGCCATAGTCCATCATGGAGAGAAGCCATGGCAGGAACGTGAGGCAGGAATCTGTAGGAAGGAACTGAAGCAGAAGCCATAGAGGAGTGCTGCTTACTGGCTTGCTCAGCCTGCTTTCTTATAGAACCCAGGACAAGCTGCTCAAGGATAGTCCCGCCCACAGTAGACTGGGCCTTTCCACTTGGCTCACTTATCAGGAAAATGCCCAACAGACTTCCCTACGCTAGTCTGATGGGGCATTTTTTAAGTTCAGGTTCCTTCTCAGATGATTCTAGCTTGTGTCAAATTTACAGACACACCATCATTGTGCCATACTCCAAGCACACTACATTCCCAGGCTCTCCTGACGTCTGCTGCCCTCTCTCACCTCCCCTGCAGATAGTATGTGGGCCTGCATAGCCTCTGACAGTGTTTCTCTTCTCCCTTGAAGGAACAAGGCACACTTTTGTTACCCCAAGATCTCTCCCGATTGCCCCTCAAAGCAGTACCCATGGAGTATCCAGTAGTGACCCATTTGCCTAGATCCCTTACTAGAGGCCCCCAGCCACAGAACCCAGCCTCCAAATAGGACTGCTTCATTAATTACTAGCTGGGTAACCTGGGGCAAGTCACCTTCCCTCTCTCTGCCTTTGGAAGCTCATCAGTAAGATGGATGCTAGTGTTTGACCCATTGAGGGTTTTTTGTTTTGGTTTGACTTTGTTTTTTGTTTCTTTTTTAAACACTTAGTTTGGAGCTGGAGAGATGGCTCAGTGATTAAGAGCACTGGCCGTTCTTCCAGGACCCAGCCCTTTTGTTTTTTACGACCTCTCCATTATAAAATTGACTGTCTTAGCTACCTGAACCTCACCCCAATCATGGACACTCCACGAAAGGGCTAAGTGGTGGCTGACAGGTTGGGAGCATGAGGCAGGTCAGCCCAGCAGGAAGGGGAGTAGGTGGGGCAGAACCAGGATGCCCTTGGAGACCATCAGAAAGCATTAGGGTCCTGGTTTTGGCAGGGAAAGCCACTGGAGAGGCCCACCTGTGTGCTGCGCGAGGGGCAAAGAATAGCTGTGTTATCCCTAGGTGTGAAACAAGAGCTCAAGGGTAGACCTGGCAGAAGAGGCCTGGGGTCAGGCTTGGGATCATGGGACAGGTGCTGGCAGAGAGGCTTTATGACACCCGCCTGATCAATGTCTCTCTTCCTGCCAGTACACGCACGCCACCCTCCCCTCTCTGTGGTACGCAAATTCATTCACCTCCTGAACCAGAGTCAGGAGGACTTCTCAGCTGAAGCGGAGCTGCTAAAGCTCCAGGAAGAAGTGGTCAGGAAGATCCGGTCTAATCAGCAGCTGGAGCAGGACCTCAATCTCATGGACATCAAGATTGGCCTGCTAGTCAAGAATCGAATCACCCTGCAGGTGAGGGCCCCCATGGGCTACCCCTCCCCCAGTCCAGCTGCTCCTGGGGGAGGGGATCCTGACCATTCTTCAACTAGTAATTCAGTCCTTTTCAGGTGGTGTGCAAGTCACCACCTGGCTGTGGACCCTGTGCCAATGGTCCTCTGATCCTCAAGGTCAGCCAGTGGATGTGTAGCACAGAAGGAACGCTGTGAGGAGAGTGGCAGTGGCTGGCTCTGCTGCTCCTAGTGCAGAGCCTGTGGGTGATAAGACCTTGAAGCCTGTTTCCTTAGCTTGCTGGAATAAGGAGTTGTTACTCCCCCGGCAGAATGCAGAGAGAGGTGAAAGCTCCTGTAAATTACATTCAGATATGGAGTAGCAGGCCAATGATGCTGTAATGTCTCCACCACCGAGACTGTACATTAGTTAGTAAGAAATAGGAGCAAAAACACAAGTAGACACACTGCCTCTGGTAGCCCGGAGCTCTTTGAAGATTCACCTGTGAAAGCAGAGGTGCCAGGCAGGGTTGCCAGCCAGAGAAGGGGTGTTCTCTCCTCTCATGAGCCCTGGTTCTTCCAGACAGCAAGTCTGGACCACGTGTTTGTGCTTGGGACCAGTCTGAGCTGGTCGGTTTGCACCTGTACCCACATCCAGGAGGTAGTCTCTCACTGCAAGAAGCTGACCAAGAAGAATAAGGAGCAGCTGTCAGACATGATGACCCTAGACAAACAGAAGGGACTAAAGTCACTGAGCAAAGAGAAGCGGCAGAAGCTGGAAGCCTACCAACACCTCTTCTACCTGCTGCAGGTGAGCAAAGGGCTTTTCCACGGAGCAGCCTTGCCTGTGGTGTAGCACAGCACTAGAATACTTGTCCTGCACACACAACACTTAAAAAAAAAAAAAATTAAAAACTCCAGAGGTCTCCATCATGTTCTGAGCTCGAAGTCTTTGTCCTTCTCCATGCCCTGTGCTAATGTCCTGTTTCCCAGGAAAGCCTATCTCCCCATTTGTGTGGAATATTTCCAGGGCCTGAGAAGGTGGTACTTTCTTCAGGAAAAACTTTGTAGCTATCAGGTCACTAATTCTCCAAGAGCATTCCAAGCCCTCTGTCTCCCTGACTGTTCACAGACTCAGCCCATCTATTTGGCCAAGCTGATCTTTCAGATGCCCCAGAACAAAACCACCAAGTTCATGGAAGCTGTGATTTTCAGTCTGTACAACTATGCCTCCAACCGCCGGGAGGCCTACCTTCTGCTCCAGCTGTTCAAGAAGGCACTCCAGGAGGAGATCAAGTAGGTGCTCCTGACTCCGGAGCGGGAGTGGGGGATGGGAGGGTGAATCAGATATGACAGCTCTTGCTGTATACACCGAGAATGACATCAGAAGTCCATTCTTCTCAGCTTGTAGGAAGACTGTAAGACAGCCCTGGAATAGCATGGTGGGAATGTGGGCTGACCTGTTAGCAGGAAGGATGGCACCCACACAACCGGTCCTTCCTTACAGTGGGCACTAGGCAAAATTCTGGAAAAGGAAAGGCAGCTATGTCCTTCTTAAAGCATATGGCCAGTGACCTATTGTACCACAGGTCAAAGGTGGAACAGCCTCAGGATGTGGTGACAGGCAACCCAACAGTGGTAAGGCTGGTGGTGAGGTTCTACCGCAATGGGCGGGGACAGAGCGCTCTGCAGGAGATCCTCGGCAAGGTCATCCGGGATGTGCTGGAAGACCGGTCAGTCAGCATCCACACAGATCCTGTCCACATCTATAAAAGCTGGATCAACCAGTTGGAGGCCCAGACAGGACAGCGCAGGTAAGCCAGCAGGAGGGAAGGGCCTGCCTCGATCAGGTCCCTCTGCAGATCGGTAGGGAAACCTGGGTGTATTTGATGGTGACATATAAAGGATTATGCAGAGATGATGCCAGGCCTACAGATTTGGGCCCTGCTTTCTCTGTTACTCCAGCTGCCAAGGATGATTTGATAGTAGCACCTTGGTATCTGGTATTTCTCCCTGTTCTTTTCCAGCTGCTCTGTGGCACTTGAGTTCTCCCTCCTCACTGTGTATCCTCAGTGCTCAGTGTTCCTTCCTCCCTCCTCCCTCACTGTGCATCCTCACTGCTCAGTCCTCCCTCCTCCCTCACTGTGCATCCTCATTGCTCAGTCCTCCCTCCTCAGTGTACATTCTCGTGTTTCAGTTCTTCCTGAGTGCTTCCTCTTTTCTCTGGCCCTTCCTCTTAGTACACTGCTCTGTCTTGAGCATATCTGTAGAACTGTATAGTCAAAGAAGAGTTGATGGGGAAAGCCTGGGAAAGGAAGCAACAGAAGGGAACAACAGCTTTACCAAGTCTCTCTGCCCACAGCTGTCTCCCCTATGATGTCACCCCTGAACAGGCTTTGAGCCACTCTGAAGTCCAGAGACGATTGGACATCTCCCTGCGCAGTCTCCTTGCCATGACTGATAAGTTCTTTGTTGCCATCAATTCATCTGTGGACCACATTCCGTATGTGTAGTCACCTCTCCCAGGGCTAGCCCAGTTTGGAAGGGAAGAGCAGCTCAGGCAACATCCCAAAGAGATGGGAAAGGAGGGAGCTTGCCAGGCATGGTGACATGCACCTTCAATCCCAGCACTCAGGGAGGCAGAGGCAGGCAGATTGATGTGAGTTAAAGGCCAGCCTGGTCTACACAGTGAGTCCAGGACAGCCAAGACTACACAGAGAAACCCTGTCTCAAAAAAAAAAAAAAAAAAACAGAGAGAGAGAGAAGGAGAGGGAGGGAGGGAGAGAGAGAAAGGAGGGGGCCAGAGGCACCTTCAGATGTGTCCACGCCCTTGCCAGGGACTGAGCTGGTATGCCACAGGCAGGTCTGTATGGTTGGGGTGATGTCACTAATCAAAGGGGAACCTAAATGATATCAAGGAGCATATTGTTGTCTGAGATCAGGTGGAGAAAAGATGGGACTCTGGCCCACAAAGTCAGAGAAGGGTAATATTCAGGCTGGTAAAGTACTTTATAGTTAGTCCTCCCTCTAATACTTTTTGGATTGTTTTGTTTTGTTTTGAGTCTCTTGTTTTGCCTTCTTGTTGTTTTGGGGGGTTGGTTTTGTTTCGTTTGTTTATATACTTCTAAATTTTATTTATTTATTATGTATACAATGTTCTGCCTGCATATATGCCTGTACTCCAGAAGAGGGTATTATAGGTGATGTTATTATAGATGGTTGTGAGCCACCATGTAGTTGCTGGGAACTGAACTCAGGACCTTTAGAACAGCAGTCAGTGCTCTTAACCTCTGAGCCATCTCTCCAGTCTTAAGATTTGTTTGTTTGTTTGTTTGTTTGATGTATGTGGATACTCTATCTGCATGTACACCTGCATACCAGAAGAGGGCATCAGATCCCATTACAGATGGTTGTGATCCACCATATAGTTGCTGGAAATTGAACTCAGGACCTCTGGAAGAGCAGACAGGGCTCTTAACCACTGAGCCATCTCTCCAGCCCTGTTTTGTTTTTTTAGACAGGTTCTCTCTACATAGCCCTGGCTGTCCTGTAACTTGCTATATAAACCAGGGTGACCTCAAACTCAGAGATTCACCTGCTTCTGCCTCCCAATGACTGGGATTAAAGACATATACCACTGTGCCTGGCCCTTTTCTGTTTAAAAAAAAAAAAAAGTTTTTTTAATGTGTATTTGTTTTACCTGCATACATAGCTGTATACCATGTTTGTGTCTGGTGCTTCAGAGGCCAGAAAAGGGTGACAGATCCCCCGAGACTGGAGTTAGAGTTGGTTGTGGGCTGCCGGTGATGGGAATGGGAATCTTTCTGGAAGACCAGCCAGTGCTCTTAACCACTGATCTATCTCTCCATTTCCTAATTCTCTTAGAAATTGGCCAGTAGCCTGGAGTTAGATGCATGGTGGTCAGAACTATAAACAAGGCTTATACTTTTTTAAAAAAGATTTATTTATTATGTATGTAAGTGTTCTGCCTGCATGTATGTCTGCACACCAGAAGAGGGCACCAGATCTCATTATGGGTGGTTGTGAGCCACCATGTGGTTGCTGGGAATTGAACTCAGGACCTTTGGAAAAACAGCCAGTGCTTCTACCTCTGAACCATCTCTCCAGCCCAAGTCTTCTACTTCTAAGTTTGAGTCCAGCCTAGAGAACATGAGACTCTGTCTTAAAACAGACAAGCAAAAATCATTCAATAAATGTTTTACTGAAAACTATTTGATGAAGCTGGGTATGGTGGCACATGCCTTTAATTCTAGCACTAGGAGGCAGAGGCTAACAGATCTCTGTGAGTTCAAGGCCAGCCTGATCTACAAACTGAGTTCCAGAACAGCTAAGACTGTTGCACAGAGAAACCCGAGGGAGGGGGGGAATTGGGATGTGAGCTGTTATCTTCTAGATCATTCAGCTGCCAGCCACGATTCTTAGTGCTGAGGGCAAGGCTGAGTGCAAAAGGGAAAGTAGCTCCAAACTGGACAGCTAGATTGAGGCTTTGCAATTGGGAGTTTAAAAGGAAAGAAAGAAAGAAAAAGAAGGAAGGAAGGAAGGAAGGAAGGAAGGAAGGAAGGAAGGAGAGAAAGAAAGAAAGGAAGGAAGGAGAGAAAGAAAGAAAGAAAGAAAGAAAGAAAGAAAGAAGGAAGGAAAGAAGGAAAGAAAGAAAAGATTGTCTGAAATCTAAGAAGAGAAATTCACAGTGAGTTATAAATCTCCGTCTAGTTGCTGAGAGTAGAAATGGCCTTTACCAGAGTCTGATTAGCTTTGTGGTTGAAAACCCATCACAGGAGTGCCATAAAGAAGTTCAGCATGTTGGGACAACACTGCTGCCTTCACAAAACCCTATGAGACTGAGTGCCCACTCCACTTCCCAGACAGATGTGCACATGGGAAGGAAATGGCCGAGAGTGGTATCTGGTAGGCAGGCAAGCCCTGCCCAAGTGCAGACAGGCCACTCAGGACCTCTGGGAGCTGGGCAGAGTTGACTGCCGTGGAGACAGGATAACATGCCTCCCTTGGGACTGTGAGGTATACTGTGAGCAGAGGTGGTCTGTGGGGAAATGAGAGGGTCTCTCTCTGATGAAAGGTTCTTAACCTGGATGTGACGGCACACAACTGTAGCAGCAGCACTTGGAAGGCAAGAGGTTGAGATTACGAATTTGAGCCCTGCCTGTATTACACAGTAAGACCCTATCTCAGATATAAAGAGTTGGAGGTAGAGAGAAGTGTAGGGGTCTAATAGGACCCTGTCCCTGGCATTGACACAAGGATCAGAGGAAGGGGAAAGGCCCAAGGGCAGAGGACTGCAGCAGGGAGCACTAGTAGGTAGAGGAATGTGTGTAGGCGCAGCTCTAGCGTGGTTGACATTAGAAGGGAGGGACAGCCAGGCTGTCATTCCCTGAGTGCTGAGACAGGGATGGGAGAGCTACAGCATGCCTGTTTTTGTCCTAAGGTACGGGATGCGATATATGGCCAAAGTCCTGAAGACAACCCTGGAGAAGAAGTTCCCCAATGCCACGGAGAGGGAAGTCTATAAGGCAAGTCCCTTCTACCATCTCTAAGACCCTCCTTTGACCAAACAGACAGGGTGACAAACTATGCTATAAACATCCAAAGAAAGCAATGCCCCCATCCTGTAAATTGAGCCTGGCCCACCAGTGAAGAATGTGGAGCTTCGGCTGTCAAGGTGGCTTCTGGAACTTTCTAGAAGATTTTCCTCTGCACTCAGGTGGTTGGGAACCTCTTGTACTACCGCTTCCTGAACCCGGCTGTGGTAGCTCCTGACGCCTTCGACATTGTGGCTATGGCAGCAGGCAGCACTCTGACCGCCCCACAGCGCCATGCACTAGGGGCTGTGGCTCAACTCCTACAGCATGCTGCTGCTGGCAAAGTCTTCTCCGGGGAGAGCCAGCACCTTCAAGTCCTGAATGGCTACCTCGAGGACATGCATCTCAAGTTCAGGTCCTGGGTCACGGCACGCTATTTCTCTCTCCTTCTCAGGGGTCACATCCTCCTCTACTCTCTAGAGAAGTCTGAGAAGGAAAACTCCGGAGGACAGGGTATAGGAGGACCTGGACAGAGGAGCACCACGAGCTAGCTTGGGTGGTACACCGAGACACGGAGGACCAGACAAGAAGGGCAGGGGCTGGGCTAGCACCAGACTTGACCTGACTTGGATGGTGGCCATCCAAATGGTGAGGGGACTAGCCTAGTCCGCTCTGACATGCCCTCTCTCTGGAACAGGAAGTTCATCTGCAGAGCCTGCCGGGTACCAGAGCCCGAGGAGCGTTTCTCCATAGATGAGTACTCAGACATGGTAGCTGTGGCCAAACCCATGGTGTACATCACCGTAGGGGAGCTGATCAGCACACATGTGGTAAGGGGTCTAGGCTGAAAGTCCACACAGAGCCCTGCCCCTAGAGCCTGGCTCAACCTCGCACCCTCTTTCTTTCTCCCATCCACAGCTCTTGCTGGAACACCAAGACCAACTGGCCCCAGATCACCAAGACCCCCTACACCAGCTCCTGGAGGACCTCGGGGAGCCACCCACCATCGCTGACCTCATTGGTGTGTATCTTCTGACATCTGGAGCCAACTAGACCTACAGGGATGGCTGTCAGCAGGCTCATTACACCCCTCTGATAAGCACAGACTCACGGCCATGTATGGCCAGTGCACAGATAGTGATGCTAGAAGAGGCTAAACTATGGCAATGACCAATGCAATCAGACACAAGAGAGGTGGCAGGAGAGGCCTCTTGGGTCCTACTCCATCTAGAAGTATAGCTCTAGACTTCTGGAATGAGAGAAGTTGGACACACAGTAGAAGGGCAGGGCCCAGCTGGCACCCAGTTGAGATCATAGAGAGCCCCAGTGATAGTAACTCAGTCCATGCGTGCCAAGGTTGAGGGCATGGTATGCTTCCATGGGACAGTGTGGGAGGGCTTCCTGAAAGGTGACCCCACTTCTGTGTGTCTGTCTCACTCATCCCTCATCCCATCAGGTGAGAACATGGCCACAGATGGCCGTGTGGACCTGAGCAGGCTTGAAGTGTCCCTGACACTCACCAACAAGTTCGAAGGGCTGGAGGCAGATGCTGACCACAATAGCAACCAAAGCCTGCTTCTGAGGTGGGTGTGGTGGCTCCCCAGGGCTCAGTAGCCCTGCTGCCTATACAGCGGTCCTACTCAGGGATGGCCATCAGACCTTGTTGCCCAGCCCACCCTCTGTTCTTCAAACAGTCCTCCCTGAAGCCACTCCCAAATGCCTTGCTCAGAATAGCATCAGCTGTTCTTTGGCAGCCTCTCAGCCTTTTCCACGGAGTTATGGCTGAGAGCATGGGGATGATCAGGGTCCTGGAGTGGCAGGTGCCTGCAGATTGGCTGCTGCCCAGATGGTTTGCTTTTTGAGACAGGATCTCCCATTGTAGTCTTCAGAGGCCTGGATTTGCTCTATAGTCCAGGTTGGCCTCAAACTCTAGGTAATGCCCCTGCCTTTGCCTCAAAAGTGTTGAGATTACAGACATGTGCCACCATGCCTGGCTTGACCAAATGCTTTTTAGTTTAGAATTTCACCTTGGACACAGGCTGCTTCAGGTGAGGAAGGGGCTCAGATCGAAGCCTGTGGGAGGGGGGACCACATTGTCCTGCCTGTCAGAGGCAGGGATAAGTCAGAAGATAAGTCAAAACTTTTCTCTGATTTATCTATTATTGTGTATGTATGTGCATGATTACGGGGAACACAAGTCTGGAGGTCAGGATAGCTTTGTGCAGTCAGTCTTTTTGAAAGACTTCCATCTTTACAAGGGTTCAGGGGGTAGAGCTCAGACCAACAGGCTTGCACACCAACAGCATAGGCCAGGAACTCACCCTTCACACTCCTGCAAAAGCCAGTCAGGAAGAACCACACAAGGCTGAGCTGGTCATCTGGGCCAGTTAATGGCACCATCCCCCTGAGGCAGCTCTCCATCTGTTCATACACTGTCAACAAGACAGCCAGAAAGGCACCTGTTTGTTGGCGGTTCCCTGCCGGTTGAGGTTGCAGTTCTTGTCTGGACTGGATTGCCATTAGGAGCTCAGTGCTAAAGGCTGAACTCCCTCCCCTGCTCTCTGCCTGACTTCATCTGGAGAGTGCCTTTAGATAACAGACTCCCCTAGCCACACTTGATTTATGGCCTCTGACACAGCTCCTTGCCAGCTCTCCTTTCCCTGCACCTATGTTAATGTTAATCAGGCACTGACATTCTGCTCTTATGATTGGTGCGTGCTGTATAATGCAAATCAAGCATCCTTGAAGTGCCTAGTTTCAACCAATTATGTTCACCTATTCTTGGACCCCCCCAGCCACTCCCCGAGGGGTGTATATTCTTTTTCTCTAGAAGTTGAACCAGCCTTCAGCTGTTCCTAGGGTGTGTGATCCCCGCATGGTTCCATTCAAGGCAGCTTCTCGTCTCCATTCCCTCCTGACTTTGTGGGCTGCTACAAGGCAGGCCCCGGGCAGGAGAGCACCTGTTCTGTTGGCAAAGGCTTAGAGTTGGTGACACAAGCAGAAAGCCACCCAGAGGAAGGGTCAGGTGCCATGAGAGTCAGTCATGGGGGCTAGCAGGAGGAGCTGATTATTTGGGTCAAAGGATCAGAGGAGGCCAGTTTGAGGGATGGTATTCCAGGGAACAGCATTTTTCCTGGGCCCTGTGTCCCTCTTCATCCTGGGCATTCCTAACAGCCCAGACCTGGGGTAGGATCCACTTATCCTTAGCTCTTTGATCTGTTCTGTCCAGACCCTTCCTGGACCTCACCCTGTCCTTCCCTGCAGCACCAAACAGATGCTAGCCGATCTCCTCCAGTTCCACCCTGGGGATTCTCTTGAGGAGATCCTGTCTTTCTCAGCTCCCAGAGAGCAGGTAAGTAGCCAGGACAGTACATAACAGCTAAGGCTTTGGCTTCATGCCACCCTTAGTTGCCACAGAGGCCCCTGGGTGCATAGAAAACCAAGCCTCTGACCTTGACCCCAGAGCCCCAGGCTGAAGGAGCAGCCTAAGCAGCTCACTCTCTCCCTACACAGCACAGGGTTGGGGTGGTGCGGAGGGGAGTCTGTTCTGAGGCCCGCATAAGGGAATTGCCCTGGAAAGGAGGAGTGTTGGAGGGTTTGGAGGTAAGAGGGGATGCCAGGTGGGCTCCCTGTTGGCACTGGAGTAAAGGTGATGATGGCGGGCAGAGGCGTGTCCCAAAGCAGCTAGGCAAGCTCTAGGTACACCTCATGCCCATAGGGTGTCATGTTGGGTTACGGAGCTGTTAGCAGCCGGTGTATCCTTGGTCTGTACGTGTCCTTTGGGCCCACCTGAGGTACACAAGGTACTTTCATGTGTCTTTGCCTGTGTTTTCCACCTTCCTCACTACGATCCCCCACCAAGACCGAGGCTGGGAAGTGACACTTTCCTGATAACACACAGGAATGCAGAGGGCTCCCAAGCTCTGGGGAGCCCTGTTTTGAAGTATGATGGTTGGGCCTGAGATCCCCTCAGCATCTCTGCTCCCCTCCCAGGAAGAAGCCCATCATCGACTGATGTGTTGGCGCCAAGCCTGTGACACCCAGAAACCAGAGCCACTTCGACGCCACCACTCACTGATGGCGCACTCTCTGCTGCCACTGGCAGAGAAGCAGCGGCGTGTCCTGCGGAACCTGCGCCGGCTACAGGGCCTGGGGCTGCTCAGGGCCAGTGACTGCTACCAGGGGCTCGTGGATGAGCTGGCCAAGGTGATAACTCGGGCTGGGACTACATGTGGCTTACGCAAAGCCACCGTGCTGACATTCCAGAGGCAGACTTCTTCCTGGTGGGTGCCATTCCAAATTGCCAGCAACTTGAGGAAAGCCCAGGGTTCTTTTTGAAGAAAAAGTCCTAAGATTAAGCAGGCAGACAGATTTCCTCTCAAGTCTCTTCAACTAAGACGTGGTAGCCTGGAGAGAGGCTCTGAGTTCGTGCCTGGGGTACCCTTAGATTGTCTCCTAGGTAAAATAGCTTTTGAGATGGCCTTTTCCTGGTGCTGGGAATAGAACCCACATGCTAGACAGACACCCTGTGGTCAGCCGCTCCTACCCCCGGTCCTCTTCCTATTTTCTTAAACATCCTCACAGTGAGCCTGTGAGGGGTTCCAGGACTTACGAGGACCACTGGCCTGCTTCCTCATCTACAGGACATCTGCAACCAGCGAAGGCACCGGCAGCGGCGGCAGGCAGAGATCCTGAGACTCCGGGCTACCCTGCAGGGCCTAGATGCCAAAACCACCTTCTATGAGGAGCAGGGTGACTACTACAGCCAGTACATCCAGGCCTGCCTTGACCACCTGGCCCCCAAGCCCAGGTAGGTGCTGTGAGCACGGCCCTAACCTCGAGGTTCCCCTACCACCACCCTTTGTCTGCCTTCGCCCTGCCATCTCCCAGCCCTGGCTAGGAATCAGCCCAGTGTGGGCCTGCCTGCTCCTAACTCTAGCGCCTCTGCTTCCTCCTCGCCTCCCACAGCAGGGAGGTTCCTGGGGCCTGGCCTCTTCTTGCCAGCCAAGAACCAGCAGCCAGTGTTGAAAGTTTGTCTCTGGGACTTTCTTTTCAACAGGAGTTCTGGGAAGGGGAAGAAGCCATCTCTTCACTACACAGCTGCCCAGCTCCTGGAAAAGGGCGTCTTGGTAGAGATTGAAGATCTCCCTGTCTCTCAGTATGTGTCTTTGGGGGACAGAATGCCAGACCCTTCCTGTCTCCTGGAAGGGACAAGGCTGGGATGAAGCTCTGAGCATGGCACTGGGTGGGAAGAAGGAGGAACTTGCTTGTGAAAGGGTGGTGGGGAGATGGAGCGTCTTCAAGCAGAGTGGAGGGCAGTGGACATGCTCCTGTGCTGGGGAGAATGCTGAGAAAGCTGCCTGGAGGTGAAAACCGCATGGTTGGGCCAGGCAAGTCAAAAAAAGAAAAGACTCAACTAGGCAGAAGTCAAGCAGGGAGAAGACAGCAGGCCCCAGCACAGAGCAAAAGGAGAAGCCCCAGCTCTCAGTGACACACACTAGTGCCTCAATGACAGCAGTAGGAGTGTGGGTGGGGCTCTGAAAAGAGGAGCCCTGTGTTGACTCCTGTTCCTGACAGCTTCAGAAACGTCATCTTTGACATCACTCCTGGAGATGAGGCGGGAAGGTTTGCTGTCAATGCCAAGTTCCTAGGTGTGGACATGGAGCAGTTTCAGCTCCACTACCAGGTGAGACCCCTGTGGCGGGGCCAGACCCCTGAACGCAGATCTATATTGCAAGCACGGAGGAGGCTGAGGCAGGAGGGTCAACAGCAAGGCCCAGGCAATGGCTCAGTTCATGACAGCACTTAACCTAAAAAGACTGTGGCTTGAGTTTTGATCCCTGAGATCCACCAAGTGGTAGAGGGAGAGAACGAGCATCTGTAGGTTGTCCTCTGCGATCTGCACAGGTCCAGTGGTGTACGTGACCACCTACACACACAAAGTTAAGTAAATAAACAGAAAACAATTTTTTTTTTTTTCATCTTAAGGTCAGATTGGAACTACAGAGTTCAAGGCCAGCCTAGGGAATCCTTATTTCAAAACAAAAAAGTAAAGCTGAGCCTGGGGCTACACACCTTTAATTCCAATACTAGTAGGCAGAAGCAGGTTGAGTTCCAGGCCAGCCAGGACTACATAATGAGACCCTGTCTCAAAATAAAGACACAGGTAAAGACTAAGTTTAAAAGGAGCTGGGGCTACAGCTCAGTGGTAGAGTGCTTGCTTAGCATGCATAGAGCCCTAGGTCAGATTGCAGCCCTGAGAAAGGAATGCACCCGGGTTTTAGGCTCCCTGCCCACCTTCTTTAATCCCCCAGCCACTCTTCAGCCTCCACCTGCTCTGTAGGCTCTGAAGCTAAAAGGTTAAGGAAACTGACGCCAGTCCTAACTAATGTTCAGGGAAGCAGTGATTTCATTTTTATTTGAAACAAGGTCTCCTGTTACCTAGGATGGCCTTCACTAGCTGAGGATGACCTTGAGTTTCTTGCTTCCTCCCAAGTGCTGGGATTACAGTGTGCACTACTGCACCTGACTTATGGGGTACCAGGGCCTCACCCATTTTAGGTAACTGCTGTTCCAACTGAGCTACACCCCCAATCCCATATTTTTTTAAAAAGTATGATTTTTATATGGGTTCTGGGAATCCAGCTTAGGTCCTTGACAAGCACTTTGCCAACTGAACTATATCCCAGCCCTGTTTTCTATTGCTGTGTTGGAGTGTTGGTGTGTACTCATATGCACATGTGGAAGCCAGATGTTGACATTTGGAGTCTTCTACTTTTTTTAAGAGGCAGCATTTCACTGGGTAGTAGTGGTGCACATCTTTGATCCCAGCGCTCGGGGCGGCAGAGGCAGAGCTCTGTGAGTTCAAGGACAGCCAGGGCTACAGAGAGAAACCCTGTATTGAAAAAAAAGGGCAGGCTCTCTCACTGAACCTGCCAGCAGCTCACGTCCTGAGTAAGTTGACTGGCCAGTGAGCTTCTGGGTTCTACTCATCTCTGCCTCCCTGTGCTGGGGTTACAGCACATACCAGACTCAGGTTCTTAATCAACTAGCTCTTCCTCTGCTGAGACATACCCTTATCTCCCCTTACTTTTCTTAAGGTGTATTTGATTTATTTGTGAGTGCCTGAACCTATTTCTGCAGAGTCCAGAAGAGGGCATCAGATCCCTCATGCCTGGAATCATAGTCATTTGTGGGACACGGGTGCTTGGCTCTGAACTCTGCTCCTCATGACTGAACAGCAAGTACTCTAATCCCTGAGCCATCTTCCAATCCATATTTTGGCTTTTGAGGTAGAGTCTCCTCTATAGCTCAGGCTGGTCTTAACCTTTCTTTGTCTCAGTCTCCTGGCCTAACAGGTTCACACCACTGCATCCAGAGTTGTGGGTTTTATATTTTTTTTCTTTATTTATTTTTTTAAGACAGTTTCACTCTATAACTCAGTCTAAGCTAGAATACATCGAGCTTTGCCTGCCTCTGCCTTCCAAGTGCTAGAATTAAAGTCATACACCAGGGGCTGGAGAGATGGGTCAGAGGTTAAGAACACTGGCTGTTCTTCCAAAGGTCCTGAATTCATTTTCCATGTAACCACATGGTGGCTCACAACCATCTATAGTGAGATCTGGTGCCCTCTTCTGTCCTACAGGCAAAGCACTGTATAAATAATAAATATAAATCTTATTAAAAAAAAAAAAAAAGTCATGTGCCACCATGCCTAGCCCTATTTACTGTTTGTTTGTTTGTTTTAAGATTTATTTTTTATTTGTGTGTATGTATGTGCACAGCCATTCAGATGCCCAGAGAAGGTGTTGGATCCCTTGGAAATGGAGTTACAAGCAGTTGTAAGACATCTGATGTGCGTGCTGGCAATCAAACCCAGGTTCTCTGCAAGAGCAGCAAGTGCTCTTAGCTCTCCAGACCTGTTTGTGTTTGTCTGTTTTTGATTAAAGGTCTTATTTTGTAGTCCAGGCTGGCCTGAAACTTGTAACTATCCTCCTGCCCCCCTCCCCCCAGTGCTGGAGTTACAGGTATGTGTCACGACAACCTGATTCCAAGCAGATTTTCAGTACAAATCTGCTGTTCTTAAGGCCTTGTTTCAAGTCCTAGCTCCACGTGGCTTGACATTCGGTCAGATCACTGGGCCTGTTTTTCTCATTTGCAAAATGGGCTTTCAACTCCTGTTTCATGGCTGGTGCTCCTGACAGCTGTAAGGCTTCACATTAGTGTTTCTTGTAGGCTGGCTGAGCCGCTCCCAGGGGCTCTTAAACCTGCCGCTGTTTCTTCCCTCCTAGGACCTCTTACAGCTGCAGTATGAGGGTGTGGCTGTCATGAAGCTCTTTAACAAGGCCAAAGTGAACGTCAATCTTCTCATCTTCCTCCTCAACAAGAAGTTCCTTCGGAAGTGATGGAGGCATTGGTGCTGCCAGCCTCCGACCGGCTGCTGTGCTCTTGCCTTAACCTACTGTGCTCCTGAAGACCACAGCTCACCCTCCCACCCAAGAGGAATTGTCCTACTTGGATGCAAACACTGGTATTTCTACCCGGCTAAAGTGGGCCTCGCTTCCAGGTCCAGCTATGTGGCTTGACCACACATCTGGCCCTTTGAACCCGGAAGCTGCATTCACTCCCGGAAAGGCCCATGGTTTTGTATCGCTACCGCCTTCCTGTGGTCACTTGCAGCACTGCCCAGCAGCCTGTCTCCACTCCTTTCCACAGACTCCAAAGCCAGGGCCAGGCTGTCTGCCCCACCTCGCCTTCATAAGCCAGAGACATTGCTGTCCCCACAGGTCTCTGTGCTATGCCCCCAACAAACTCTAGCCCCTCATGGCGTCCCAGCAGTGATTTGGGTGCAGCATTTGCTGCTGTCTGTGACAGCTACATGCACACCTCCGTTGTCCTTCCTCCGTGTCCAGTGTTTCTTGTTCTGGCCACTGGGGTATTTATTTTAACCTGATTGTCATGGGGCCTTAATCGTGGTTTTAAATTCTCACTTTCTGAACTCAAAGAATGAGTTTTCCCCATTCAACTAATGTCCATTCTAGTTTCCTCTCCTTTATAGTCTCTTGGGGTTGGAGCAGGGAGGCTCCCTGGCTCCAGCTGAAGAACTCATTTTCTCAGCTTTTCTACAGGACTAAAAGCAGTCCTGCCGACTTTGTCACCTCAGAGCTGAGTCCCAGGTGGTTCCTGTAGATCTGCAGGCCTGTCCCGGCCACTCTGTCTACCCCACATCTTCCAGCTTCCTATCCTTGCTGCCCTCTAGATTTTCTAATAAAACCAGCTGTTACCCCACATCTGTCAACCCTTGGGTTATTTCCTGTAGCACAGCCCTCGAGTTCTGGGGTGCAGCTTCCAAGAACTTGGGGATACATCCCTCAGCAACCTTCTACCTACTATGGGCACTGGCCCTTTATGTCTGCCTGCCCAGACTTGTACAAGTGGAGGACCTAGCATTTCTTTCTTTCCACCCCAAGGGACAGGGAGGAGGAGGAAGAAATGCTTAGGTTTGATTCTGTTTTCATCAGCCACGCTGACAGCTCTGGCCTTGAAGAGCCCAGTCCAGACTCCTTCCACCCATTTACACAGCTCCAGTCTGTGCCATGCCGGAGCCACACAATTCCTTATGTCAAACTCTTCTTCCTGTGGAGAAAGTTTCTCTGCTTTCAGGAAGCTTTGAGAGCCTGTGGGGGAGGGGACAGCAGACGTCTACCTGACACTTGAACTCAGCAGCATCTATTGGGCACCCACATTTTTCTGGCCCAGCCTGCCTGCCTCTTCTCCATTCCATTCTGTCACTCAGTATCTGTGTTGCTGTCACATTCAATCTCACTCAAAGCCTCTTCCCCCTTAACATGTCACAGTAAAAACTTCAAGTGCTGCCTTGCTCTAGGTGACAATGACATATACCAAGATCTTAGTTTTTACGCATGCTAAAAATCTCACATTGCCAAATAGCTCTGACACTGTCCTGCTACAGGACCACATACCACACCCCCACAAATACACACCAGTCATGAGCTCAGCCACTCTTACCACATGGAGAAATGTCACAGTGGCTAAGCTGGAAAGGGCATCACAGGGCTCCGCCAGGGCCTTTCCTTGCATCCCATCCTGAGTCATGTCACTCTCAGCCCATACACTCATCCTGGCAGCAGTCCCTAAGAAGCTCAAGTTAGTCAGTGTCCTTGCTGACTTCCACGGCCCGGTTTGAGATACAGGGGCTGAGCCTCTGCAGGTGGGAGTATCAGAAATTTAAATGCAAACTGCTAGCAAGCAGAAAAAGTATTCTAATCCAGGCATGGTGGCATGTACCTGTCATCAGCACAGGACAGCAGAGGCAGTATATTCAAGACCAGTCTTGGCTACACTCCACATTCAAGGCTAGCTTGGGTACATGAGACCTTGTCACAAAGGAGAAAAAAAAAAACAACCCATGGGACTAAGGATCTATAACTCACTAGTTTTGTAGTATGGTGATTGTCTAGTACACCCAAGGTCTTGGGCTGAATCCTCAGCACTGGGGGAAGGAGGGTGACTTCAGTAGATGGTCCCGAGAAAAGCTGGAAATTCACACTTTTTTAGGAAGGAATGGCATTGAGCCCTAAACCCCTGTCTTAATCCATGTGAAAATACTATTTTTGTGTTCGCTTAAGCAGCACATATACCAAGATTGGAATAATACAAAGAAGATTAGCATGACTCCTTCGTTAAGGATGATAAACAAATGAGAAAGAAAATACTGGTTTTTGAGACAAAGCCTCACTACATAGCAAAGGCTGACCTTGAACTTGTGATCTTCTTGCTGTAGGCTTCCCAGTGTTGGGAAACAATTCATTTAATGTGGTTCATGGAATCGAAATGAAAAAAAAAAAACAAAAAACCTGCAACTATAGAATGCTTAGAAGAAAACAGTAGGACTAGGGCTCAGTCAGTAGGGAGCTTGCCTAGCAAGCACAAATCTCTGGGTCTGATTCCCAGTACTGAATAAAAGTAGATGTGATGGACATCTGTAATCCCAAAGGCGGGAGAATCAAAAGTCTGTGGCCTAGGTTACAGAGTGAGTTCCAGGACAGCCAGAGCTCCAAAAGGAAACCGTGTGTGTGTGTGTGTGTGTGTGTGTGTGTGTGTGTGTGTGTGTGTTGGCTATATACCAAGAACAAAGCCACCCTGGTATACATGAGACCCTAACACACAGAGACACCTAAATTTTCCTTACTTTGGCTTGAGAATATTTTTTTTTTTTTTTTTTTTTTTTGGAAATCAGAAGCAAAGAGTAGAAAAGCTGTGCTTTGAAGGACATTTTCAAGATAATGAAAAGACCTGTAGTGAAGCACACTTGTAACCCCAGCACTAGTGGAAACAGGATTTCCACTAGTGGGAGCCAAGGCTGCATAGTGAGTTCCAGACCAGAGTGAGACCAAAAAGGAAAAAAAAAAACAAACAAATGGGCAAAAACTCTGAGCAGACAACTGAAACAAACAAACAAAAAAGCTCCCAAAGAGTACCTGAAGGGCAAGGAAGGGGTGCCCTCCAGCAGCCAGTAAACATATGCAGCTCAAACCCATCTATAGAACAGAATGGCCTGGTGGAGGTTAGTCTAATTCTAATTACTGGAACTTAAACTCTGCTTACACCTATCTTTGTTTTGTAAACCTGCCTGAAACATATCTGATGATTGATTGCTTGAACAGCCTATACCTGGGCAGGGCAGAATGGGGTAGGCATGGCTAAATTTCCCGGGCTTTGGAGAATCCCACGAGGAATCACAGGAAGGACAGACGGACAGGAAGAGAGGAAGGAGAAGGACACCAGGATGAGTTAGCCTGTAGAAAACACCACATGGGCAGAGGACGGACTCCAATAATGGTGTGAAATGGCCCAGATTGAGAATATAAACAAGTACCATGGGATTACAGATGAGAGGTAATCCAACCAAGGTGGATTACCAGAGGACCTGGGTTCAATTCCCAGCACCCACATGGTGGTTCACAACTATCTGTAGGTGGATTGCATTGGATGGGGGCTGGGAGATGGAGATGGATGGTGAGGTTATTGAGACGGTGTAAGTGAACTATCTGCCCAAGGTAATAAGGCAATTATAAATCTAACGAGTGTCTGTGTCTCATTATTTGTGATAGCAGGTTAAATAATAATGCTGTGATAATCTTAGGGCAAATACTAAATAATATATAGCACAACACCTTTCTATTGTTTACGACAACAATGGACACAGCATTGTCTCTGTCGCAGACTGCAAATGCCATGTGACTAGCACCTGTCACTCCTGTTGCTATACTGTCTGTGCCACAGTGGACTATCATCTCAAACTTATGATGAGGTGCCCCTTTCCCCGGGACAGCTAATACTCAGTAGCGAGAAACTGCAGCCTCTGCATTGTTCCTGGGAAAGTCCTGGTGACAATTTCTTAAAACATAAAGTAGCATTATCACATAGCCCAACAATTCCACCCAAGAAAACTGAAGCCAGGCACGGTGGGACGTACCTTTAATGCCAGCACTCAGGAGGCAGAGGCAGGTGGAGCTCTGTGAGTCAAGGCCAGCCTGGTCTACCAAGGGAGTCTAGGACAGCCACGGCTCTGTGTAACAGAGAAACCTGTCTGGAAAAAGTATAAATAAATATAATATATAATATAATATGTAATATAATATAATAAATATAATAATTAATAATTAAGCTGAAGAGGTGGTTCTGGGTTAAATGCACTAGCTATTCTAGAGGAGCTGGGTTTAGTTCCTAGCACCCACATGGTGAGTCATAACCATTTGTAGCTTCAGTTCCAGGATATCTGGTGCCCTCTTCTGGCCTGCACAGATACTAGGCACATAAATACAGGCAGGCAAAACACTCAAACACATCAACTGAGAAAAAATAAGCCTCTAAACAGAACGTTGAAAACATACACAGAAATCTTAAGTATTCGTGTCAGCATTATTTAGCTCACTCCAAATATCTACCAACTGATAAATGGGTTAACTCAAGGACAGGGTTCCACACAGTGGGGTATTTAGCCATCAAAAGGAGCAGGCTCTGAAGACATTTAAGTCAGCGTGGACAGATAGCCACATGTCAGATCGCCCCTCTGAAGTACCCAAGGGAGACAGCCATGGTACCAAAAGAAAGTCAATGAGGGAAATTACTGGGAAAAGTGATGGGCATGGAGCCTTGGGGGATGATGAAAATATTTCTTAGAGTTGGCCATGGTGGTGCAAGCCTGTACTCTCACCAACACTGGAGACCCAGGCAGGAGCAACAGCAGGAAGGCCAGCTGAAGTTACCTGGTCTCTCTCTCAGAAGGAGGGTGGTGCTGGGACTGTAGCTCAGTGGTTCAATGAGAGTACCAGCCTAACTTATATGGGGCTGGGTTTGACTCCTGATACTGAGGATGTGTGTGTGTGTGTGTGATGTATGTTATACTTCAATAATCATTTCTTATATTGTTTTTCTTGCTTTTTTTTTTTTTTTTTTTTGCAACAGGGTTTCTCTGTGCAGCCTTGGCTGTCCTGGACTTGTTTTGTAGACCAGGCTGGCCTCAAAATCACAGTGATTTGCCTGCCTCTGCCTCCCAGAGTGCTGGGATTAAAGGCATGCACCACTGTGCCCAGCTGTTTCTCACTTAAAAAAAAGAATTGGTTGAGCAGTGGTGGCCTTTAGCACTTGGGAGGCAGAGGCAGGTGGATCTCTATGAGAAAAGCCTGGTCTACAGAGTGAGTTCCAGGACAGCCTGGTCTACACAGAGAAACCCTGTCTCAAAACTACCCCCACCAAAATAAACAAGTAAATAAATAAAAGATTTACTGTCTTTGTTTTCTTTCTATTGCTATGATCAAACACCAGCCAAAAACAAGTTGGGGAGGAAAGACTTTATTACATTATACAATTTACCATGCATCACTGGGGAAACTCAAGCAAGAGCCTGGAGACAGGAACTAATCAGAAACCGAGGAGGAGGGGCTGGAGAGCTGACTCATCGATTAGGAGCACTAAGTGCTCTTCCAGAGGACCTGGGTTCAATTCCCAGCACCCACATGGTGGTTCACAACTATCTGTAATCCGGCATTCTCACACAGATATACAAGCAGGAAAAACACCAATGCATATAAAATAAAAATAAAATATTAAAGAAGGAATGGAGGAACACTGCTGTTCCCTGGCTTACTCAGCCTACTTTGTTACATTCCCAGGACCTCCAGCTCAGGGACAGCACCACCCACAGTGGGCTCAACTAAGAAAATGCCTCAGAGGCTTGCCCACCCGCCAAACTGCTGGAGGCCTTTTCTGAACTGAAATTCCTCTTCCCAGATGACTCTAGCTTGTGTCAAGCTGACAAGAGCCACTTCCTTGTTTTTAATATATGTGTATGATGTTTGCCCCCATGTATGTAAATGTACCACAAAGGAGGCCAGAAGGGAGAGACGCATCCCCTGAAGTGGAGTTTCAGATGGTTGTGACCAGCCATGTTGGCTGAGTGTGGGGCCTCTACCACCGAGCCATCTCTCCAGCAAACCCCTCTCCCAACTTTTAAGTTGGAGGAGGGTCAGGGAGGCAGACTCCTGTCAGGTCAGGGTCTCTCTACCGTGCGAGTCATAGGAATTGAACTCGGGTCACCAGCTTGGCAGCAAGTATCTTTACCTGCTGAGCCACCCACCTTCCTGGACAAAACCTTTCTTTTTCAAAGTTTATTTTACTTTTATAATAATTATTTTGTGCGTGTGAGGCAGGGTTTCTCATAGCTCTGGCTGTCCTGGAACTCACTGTGTAGACCAGGCTGTCCTCAGCTGCCTTTGTTGCCACTGCTGTGACTGTCTCTGGCCACCACCCAGTGAGAGGCTAAGCCAAGGATGGGGAGCTCCCAGGAGTTCAGCATCTCAGGGGTGATTCGGCCGTCATTACTATTCTAGAGCTAACTTAATAAATTCTGATGTATGTAGATATTTGTATATATCCCCTTGGTTCTGCTCCTCTAGAATCCTGACTAAAACACCAGCTGTGGAAAACTGAGGAAATCAAGGACTCACAGTGGGGTTGGGGGGAATAGAGAAAAACCTGTCAACATCAAGAAGAACAAGTGTGTCCTGGAGAAATGGCTCAGCAGTTAAGAGCAGTGGCTGCTCTTACAGAGGACTCAGGTTAGATTCCCAGCACCCACAGAGCAGCTCACAACGCCAGTCCCAAAGGGTCCTATCACCCTCCTCTAGTCTCTGAGGGCAGGCATGCACATGTTACAAAGAGGCAAGACATGCACACATGCAACAGTAAAATAAATAAACCCTGAACAAAGGAAGAAAACAAGTGTAACAGGAAGCTTCGAATCAGCTGCCACGGATACCCTTGTGCCTCGGTCATCACAGACAAGGCCGAGAGGTGCAGAAGCCCCTGCCACGAAGGGGCAGGATGAATCACACTGCCCTTTGGATGGTAATAAAAGTCCTGAAAAGCAAACAAAGACTGTAATGAATTATTTCTGTCTGTGTTAGCAGGGAAGGTGGGGGCAGGAAAGTCAGGTGGTCAAAGTCATCCTTAGAGACACAGTTAGGTCATGGCCCAGCCTGGGATAATAAGACTGACTCTGTCTCAAAAGTAAAAATAAGTTGGGTGCCAGTGCATTAAAGGTACACATCTTTAATCCCAGCCTGGTCTACAAAGCAGGTCCAGTACAATCAGGACTATACAGAGAAACTCTGTCTCAAAAAATAAATAAATAAATAAATAAATAAACAAACAAATAAA